TACTTAAAATCCATAAAAGTGGACAGACCGAAAGCAGCTTCATTCTACCTCTCACTTTTTCCTTTATTCGATACAATTCAACAAACAAACGAACCATAAAAACCCACTTTCCCAACTCATGTCCCCGCCGCCTGACTCACCTCCACGTGTACGGTCGCCGCCACCGCAGCATCTGACACGATAACGACCCGATTACTCTCCACACTCCTCACCGCATGACCCGGAAACCCAGACGGCGTCACCACCGAATACTCCACCTTATCTATCCTGTTCGGAAACAACAATACCCTCGAGAAATCAACGGTCCACATCGTCCCATTCCCCTCCGCCGTCCCTCTCGCCACCGTCGATCTTCCCACCATCCTCCTCACACTGTTCCGATCCACCACCACCCCATCCACCGCCTTAAACCCACCGGCGGTCTCATCCAGCCACACGTTGTGGGCCCCGCTATCCCTCCCCGTAAACATGTTGTCAACCACACTCACCCCATTTATCACCCCGTTGACCGACTTGAACGCCACGTTGGCATCCCCCAGAAAAAACGAACCGGATATCAGAAGCTGAACCGGGTCTTCCGCTACGATCCCCGTGAAATCCAAATAGCAGTTAACGATCCGGGTCTGGGTCAGACCGGGTAACTTCACGTAGATCCCGGTTCCGCCGAAAGCCGCCGCCTTGTTGTAACAGTGAACACCGGTGAGGACATTAGCTTCTCCGGCGACGAGAATTCCGACGGCGGCGGAGAAGATAATGACGTCGGTAACGGCGTTATCATTTCCGTTTAGCTGTATCCCCGTGCCGGTGAAGCTCCGTTCAGCTGGGTCCGAACCGGCCGTGATATGCTGACCAATGTAACAGTTTCGGATAGCATTGTCATGCCCGTTGCGAATTAGAACGCCGACGGAGGTGAAGTGGACGATGTAACAGCCGTCGATGATGACGCGGAGGGAGTCGATGACTGCGATGCCGCCGCCGCGGAAGTTGGAGTCGAGCATGAGGCCGGCGAGGGTTATGTATTCAAAGGCATAGGAGGAGGTGGTTCGGTTGAGTTCGATGAGGTGGCGATCGGAAGGGAAGGTGTTGGAAGCAAGCAGGGTGCCGGAGTGGATTTTGAGGTTGCCGGAGGAGGGGAGGGAGAGAGGGGAGGAGAGGAGGTAAAGACCGCCATCGAGATGGAGTTCGGCGCCGCCGAGGTTTGGGATGGAGGGGGTTAGGGAGAGGTGGGAGAAGGAGAGGGCGGCGGAGATGGCGGAAGAGAGGGCGGAGGAGGAGTCGGTGGAGCCGGTCGGGTCGGCGCCGAAGTCGGTGGCGTGGAAGACGTGGGAGTGGGGGGAGGTGGACGCGGCGGATATGTAGAGGGGAGAGGGAGAGGAAGAGGGAGAAGAGAGTGATCGGAGGTGGCGGTGGACAAGTTTGCGTCGGCGGAGGTGGTTTGGGGAGAGGGCAGTAATGATAGGTAAGAGGAGGAGGATGAGGAGGAGGGGGAGGGTGATGGACTTTGGCATGTTTGTTTTTTGGGTGGGTGGGGAGGTAGTGAGAGTGGAGAGTAGAGAGTGGAGGGTTTGGAGGAGAGGTTATTTATATAAATAAATTTGCTTAAGGTGTGATAATTTTTTATTTATAATATTGTAGTATGTTTAAATGATGGGAAGGTTATAAGAGTTATTATTATTATTATTTA